TTGTGGCTGATAGGTAATTACATAGCGGCTAAGTGCAGTCTGTGTCTGTATTACATCTGTAGTATTTCTGCATAAACAGACTGTAAAAGTAATCTGGAAATTTAGGTTCTCAGAACTTAGAAGAGAAAAACAAAAACAATAGATTGAAACTAAGATGCATATGTGCTATCTCTAAGTATACAGATATATATGTTTTTCCTGTTAGGTATCTGCTCTCTTAAATATGTGCTAATGTCATTTTGACTTGCATATGTAAAACTTAACTATAATCATCCTTTATGTCAAAAATGACAATTACTGTATTCTGTGTATGTTCTGCTTTAAACTCACACATATTTGACCACTTGCCTTTTGATCTTATGTCTGTGTTTTAAAAACAAGTCAGTATCATCTACACAATTTATACTGTGGCTACCCATATGTACTTAATAATTTATTGTCACTGATTTCCACTATGTTTTAGCAACAAATTGTTTTTTAAAAATAAGTTTTTTGCCTGCAGGTTCGAGACCCACCCGGACAACTTGGTGAGACCTCATCTCTACAATAAATCAAAAAATTAGCTGGGCATGGTAGTGCACACCTGTAGTTCCAGCAACTTGGAAGCCTGAGGCAGAAGATCACCGGAGCCCAGCAGGTCAAGGATGCGGTGGCCAGGAGTGTGCCACTGCACTCCAGTCTGGGCAACAGAATGAGACTCCAACTCAAAAAATAATTAATTAATTAAATAAATAAATTATATTTTAATTTAGCAAATGACTTTAAGTTAAAGACATTAAATAATAATTAGCTCACTTAGATTAAGCTTGTCACTTCCTATCTCTTTTTTTTTTTTTTTGAGTTGGAGTCTCACTCTTGTCATCCAGGCTGGAGTGCAGTGGCACGCTCACAACCTGCTGGGTTTAGGTGATTCTTCCACCTCAGCCTTCCAAATAGCTGGAACTACAAACGCACGCCACCATACCCGGCTAGTTTTTGTGATTTCCTGTAGAGACGAGGTCTCACCAAGTTGCCCAGGCTGGTCTCAAACCCCCCGGGTCAGGCAGTCTTCTCACTTTGGCCTCCCAAAATGCTGGGATTACAGGCTGAGCCACTACGCCCGGCCTCAATTCTTTTAAAATTCTAAAAGATAGCAGACACCTGGAACTAGCACAAATAATCATCTCGCCTAATCTTTGGCCCCTATATAGCTCTGATTCCTACACACATATATACTCAGTATACCTACAAAATGAGTTTTGTATGTTCTGGATTAACCTTCCTGAAAAATGTCTAATAACTTAGCCTTCTCTTTTTCAATTTTTGCGGATAATGAGGAAATTCAAACAGCTTGTTATATCCTTCTTAATCATACCGCTAGAAGAGCTTTGCTTTGCCAATCTAAAAGCCCAAATCCCTAAGGCACCAATTACCATTAAAGATAGTTTTTAACAAGAACTGTGTCCTAGGCAGAGAGGTTATGCAGAGCAAGCTGCTTTAAAACTGTGTGGGGCATTAGCCACCAGACAGCTATCTAAAGGCCAGAGTCTCTGGTCTTTCTGTAGTGGTAAAAGAGGACCCATAAAAAGTGAAGAAGCAATGATGCCCAACCAATTCAAGTAATTACCAAATCTACTCATTCATTCAATACATTTTTACTGCAGCTTGTCCAGTGAAATGTGCTGTGTCAGGCAGTCAGGATCTAGATGGAGTGAATTCACAGACCACCAAAGATCAGTCTAAACAATGTCTTAGAGAAACAGTTGAAATAAGCAGGGATGGTTTTCCTGGAAATAAGATTCTGGAAAAACACAAGAGCCCTCAAGTCTAAATATTTATTCCTTTTTCTTGCAGAGAAGAGATCATGCTTGTTTTGTACAGGATCATATCAAATTGGTATCAGTGGGTGGCAGTCAAAATCAGTAGAATAAAATCAAAGCAACACCAAGAAAGAACTCACTATAGATGCAATCTAAAAATATAATGAACTCTTTTAGGAAGAGCAGAGGCCAGGCCGGGCTCGGTGGCTAAACCTGTAATCCCACGCTTTGGGAGGCCGAGGTGAGTGAATTTCCTGAGCCCGCAGGTTCGAGACCCGCCTGGGCAACTTGGCGAGACCTCATCTCTAC